GACATGCGGTTCTAAACGGAAAAAATACGTCTTTCTCTAACTCTTATTTATTATTTTATAATTGTTGCCACATTGAAGAGAAACAAAGGTGTAAGAAAGTAAATATTTTTCCCTTTTGGATCCCTTGCTGCTTGCAAAGAAAATGAACTTTCTCCCAAAAGAGTTCATTTTCTGTTCGAAATTCACAGCCGTAGATTTGTCATTTAACGGTCGTGGAAATAAACGTTCTTCTACATAATCATTACAATTCGTCATAGAAAATGATATTCTCCAGTCATTTCATCTAGACATGTTTTCACTGAGCACCTTGTGCGTTTGCATTTACTACGTAAGTTTTAAGGACATCCATTATTAATTAAAAGTTCATTTAAATAATATTTAAAAATTTTTAAAAGTTCTAAATACAAAATGAAATTCCCAGGAAACCAGCAGTAGCGCTCTTATGAATGATCGATTTCTCGGGTCCCTTGATAAAACCTATAAAAAATGTCTCTTTAAATTTATCAAGAAGAGTAGCTCTTAGAAAAAGAAGACTCGTCTATTCATTCGCTTTCTCGATCCTCTGAGCACATTCTTACTCTCGACCATCCTTATCCTAACACACAGTAGCATCATTTATTTACGCCTACCTCAACTCGAACTTTCTCCACTCCTTCCGCAGCTACTTCATTCCTTCACATTTGGGTCTCACGAGTGCCTCCCAACTGGAAATCTCTGCTCCGCTCAATACGAGGACCACGTTCCATTAGGGCCTCGTGTCCCAATCTTCCCTTCCCCGCTCCCCCGCCAGTGGCCCACTTGGGCGGAAAGGCCCTTCACCGGACCTCTTCTTTCTTACACCTTTCCTTCGAAGGCCATCCGTTGTAACCCATTCACTTCTGTCTTCCCCACTCAGTCAGTGTTGACCTACCTACTTTCTGAAACAGCGTACCTCTGACCATTCCTTCCTACCCATCCAAAATTTCTTTATTCGATTCAATATTGTGGGAATAGATCATCCAAATCCAACAATCAGTAATGCGCATTTCTGTATCAGTCTCAAGTTATCCAACTGTAGAAAATGGAGCGTACTTCTTCTGGCGACCACAGGTAAAAACTTCATTTGAAACAAAACTGGTCTACTTCGAACTGCGTCTCTCAATTGGTTTATAAACAATGGAATTCTTTTGAAGTTTTAACATAATATTGGGAATATCCAATCGTTTTAAATCACCCACATCACTTATTCTTTTATACTCTGGATGCAACAAAAAGGAAGAAATGATAAAATTAAACTTCATAGGTTATTCACCAGGCAAGTATTAATTTTTTCCTCAGTCCTTGTAGAAAATTCGGGTGCTCTCGTTAACTTTTGTTTTACCGCAATTGATGCGCCTCTCCTTTAGACGCCGCTGTGGTTGCTATCGATTGTCGCGGGCGCCGCTGTGGAGCGACAGCTGCAGCAAGAGTAATCCCGCGGCCCATTCGTCTGCCACGAGCCGTCACGCTGCACACTGCGGTGCGCAGAGGACATCGAAGAGCCTGATGGAGTGCGCTTAGAGCCACTGGGATGATCGACTGCAGCGGCAACGCTCAAAGTCTCCGGAACACGAGTTCACTGCCTACAGACGTTACAAGAAAGCAATTTGGCCTCGTTCGCATGCATTTTGGAAATGAGTTAAATACGCAACACGCGTTCATGCGATGCGAGACCTAATTCTGACTACACGTACAAACTATACAGGACTAATAGCTAACTATAGGACCTAGGGACACTTTTGAAAAACGGCCTAATGCAACTGGAAGAATCGAGAGTCATAGCTCGGTGTATATGCTAACTTCTTGGGACGGGGAAACATTTTGGTATGATAAATAGCCGTATGATAAAGTTAAAGGCACAGGTTTGTTTTGTTGTCTTTAGTTGTCAGTAGAGGTGGCTTTATTCAGACTTGTGCCCTGAATTAACCCAGACCGCCAGTAAAATCCTCTTGTCAATTATTTTATCCGCATAACAGAATATCCATAATTTATTTATTAAATAAGGGATGACTCTGGAAACAGACATATGTGAGCATAATATTTGTGCAGCAGTAAGATCAATCTTTTGTGGCAACCTATTTACGTTTCGTGGTTTTTTGGCCTGTTGCAGGTGACAGTGGCGGTTCTGCGGTCAGCAGCCTCATTCGGCAACTAGTGGATACGGCAGAGGTGAGTTACGAGATAGCTTTCTTTGACATTAGATGTGTGTAATTTAATTTATATATTTTTATTATTATTTTTTATAAATTTCTCCTTTATAACGATTAAATATATTCTTGTTTGGTCAAACTAACTGGTTTACCGTCATATTTTAATTGAAAATGTCTGCAAAATGCTTTAGTCAGTCTTAAAACAATGAGGTTCCTTAAGCATTTTAAGGGACTGCCAACTCAATGAGTCCGTTATTGTTGTCCAGACATTATTGTTTGTCTGCTCTAGAGTAATTTTCAATTCTTACATCAAGAATCGTAACTACTAACATGCGTATGCTCCAGTATTTTCTTCAAAAATTATTTTTTCTTAAAAATGCTCTATTGGCACAAATCTTTTTTTATTAATCACAGTACTCATGTCAAAAAAGGCGATATTTTATACTCTTAAATAGCGTACAATATTCGCAGTTCTTTCGTGGCAGTCGCCTCTAAAAAAGGTCACTCTGCTATTGCAGAATGACGATGATTAAAGTTGCACAAAGTTAACTCCGTTTTTATGGTCCAGGTGACTACACCATCGTTAACAGAACGGAAGCAATTGGAAAATTTTCGAGCGCAGCAAATAATACAGGGAACAGGTAAAAAGGCAATTTTAAGACTTGCATCGACACGTTAGAGAGACTTGTACTGCAATTTTTTATCATCACAGCTAGTTTCGGATCAGAATTTCTGCCCCAAAATCAGAAGCCCATAAAACGAATTTTCATTCATTTGGGTGAAAAATATGCATTACACACACCATAATTTCCCGGATGAAATGGTTTTCGATAAATCATAATCTGTAGAGGTTCCCAAAGGGCAAGCACACACCACGCGTGGGCCTAAGGGAGGGAGAGGGGGGTGGGGTGGACACGGGGATTCCCTTGCGCCCGCACGGCGGAGCAAAGCACAGCGCTGCGCGGCGCGGCGCGGCGCGGCGCTCTGTGGCGCCAGTGAAAATCCGAATTAAAATGCGGCGCCCTCGGAGGATACGTATCGTGTCGCGCGAGAGCTAATGAAATTTTATTAGAGAGCTGCTCGCTTCCACCGCACGACGGCTTCTGCTCGCGGCGCGACGGCCCCGCCCCGCCCCGCGCCCGCGCAGCACAGGCTTCCCGAGTTGCCTTCGCAGACACGCGCTTCGCTCGGTGCCTTTGTGTGGCGCTGGGACAGCCAGCGGAGGTTCGTTGCAAGATCCAGAAATGACTGTCACAGTCATGGACCACAAGATTCAAGGACGAACAGTGTACGATTTTATCACACATAACAAATATATCGGACTGTAATGTGATGCTAGGAGTATGATTTGAATTGTCAATTGAACAGTTTGCCGGTCCAATAATAATGAACAGAGGGTGAATTTTCCGAAGAATAGCTTGAAGTAAAACTCTTTATACTTCGACAAAATCACAATGCAACCAAAGTCAAAAGCCATGAAGAAACTCACTTCCTAACGAATCCATTCAAAATGAAAAAGAAGACACAACCAACAGAAATTGGTTTTGCGACTGAATTATTTAATTATGTTGGTGCATCTGAAAATATTTTACAATTATTACAATTATCTGAAAACAATACAATTATGATTTGCGTTTATCTTAGGACAGCGCAGTGTATCCTTTATGATTGTGTGTTCCGCGCCCTGAAGAAGGTAAGACTTGCGTATGCAAAAAGTCTCACCCCATTTACATTCTCGATTTCGAAACCCACATAACAGTCCGTGCTTAACGAAGGCGGTAAACTGCAACTAATACGAGGCTATTCGAGAAAGAGCTAATGAAATTTTATTATCGCACACCTTGCTTCCGGCGCGGCGCGTAGCACGGCGGCCGGCCATTACGACCGCTTTACGCTCCAAGACGGCGGAGCCGCAATCGCGCACGGAGAGACGGTAGGCGAGGAGAGACGTGGGTGGTGCCGCAGGGGGTGTGTTTGGCGGGGGAGGGGGAAGGGGGCGGAGCGGCGCGCAGGAACCGGTCGTTAGGGCCCAGTTCCGACGCCGACTACTAATGGCCGCATCTCGCGCAGACATCAAAGACTCGGCTTTCTTCCCACTTCCTTCCCGGCGGGCGCGGGGCGCATCTGGAGCGCGTAAACCTCCTTTCCCTGGCGGCCACCACGCCCCCGCACCGAGCGTGGAATGGCTCTCGGAGTCAACGACCACCTGCCGTTTCGCCCCTTTCATCTCACTCTATACAACACCTGAAAAGAAATTCTTAAATATCTTGCTAATTAAAAACCAACAAAATTAATTAGGTGCGGCGTCTCTTTGCAGGCTAGTTTATTTTGCAGTGAATTCTTTGCTTTCCCCAAAACTGTTTCCCCGTTCGTCTCCGAGTCCGAGACTGCAAATACCACGAATAAATCCAGAACTGATCATTATCATGATCATCATCGGGCTTGGATTAATGTTGCTTTACCCATCAAGAATCACACGACGTCCCGTGCCCTCAATATTCGCCATCAGCTCTCTTAACACGTAACCCAGCTTCGCGTATTTTCACCCCGCCGATGCCTTGTGGTTTGAAAAGGCCTCAACCATGGCATACCACACAGCCAACATCCGTGCCTGTGCATCCACTACATCCTTGCCCGAGACTGGATTCGACCGAAATTGATGCCTTCGTAATAACGGTTTCCAGGTCAAAGATTACGCCCTCAACTAAACGCATATTGGGTATGTATTGCATTAATAGTTTGATAGACATTTTCCTTCACCCAATCACTTGCACATCCGAACTTGTGGGCAGATAATCGCGCTGCTTCTACTTTGGGATGCTGCCTATGAAGATCCACATCAAGCAGTCACAAAAAATGCAACTATTGGAAATTGGCTGCCCCTGAGCTTGAAAGAATTGCTGTCGAGATCAACTATCATAATCACAGCGAGAGAAGTTAAGGGTACGTTTCACACATGGCTGGTTTCATTGATCAGAGTCGTCTTTCTGTTGACCAAAAATTACCCTTATGGATCTCGCTATGGCTGCAGAAAGAACACTCTCACTCCATTCGTGAAAAATGCATTCCCTCAGCACAGAATTACTCGTCCATGTAAACCAGAGTTGCAACTTACTTACTGAACCCTTTGGATAGAACCACTTTGCAAGGAAGGCGAGTCTGATTATCTTGATATCTACCAGAGAGATCATGCTACGAAAATGATGAAACACTAATTGCTACAAGCTTACTCCTGAGTTAATTCCTCGACGTCCACGACCTACAAATAACACACCAGACACCAGCAACCGAAGATGGTCCTAACTCTTCAGATGTAAGCTGAACTTCAAAATTCTGAATTGCATAGGAGTCCTAGTAAACTAAGTATTCCGCATAAAGGGCTTCAGATAGGCAACTGCCGTCTCTCTATACATAAGCCTATCATGCGAGGTATTTTATGCAAAAGATTGTACGTTTGAATAACGTTATTCAGGGTTGCTTCATAAGCTAAATATACTAAATCCAAAAAAGAGCCTTGAATGATGTTGGACTTATATGACGTACATGCGTCATTATGAAGTACATGCGTCATTATGAAGTAAATCTACGGCAAATACAAAGATTATGAAATCTTGAATGTAAAATAAAATGAAAACCTAAGTTGCAAATAATTCAAAATCAAAAGGAATTGCCAATCCTTATACTCCACTACTACTACGCTATTGATATTTCTTTAGCATTCAAGTATTGTGTCTTACTCGTACCTGTGGCATTGATGTGGACAAAATATTGTTACCATCCAAATCGATTACTTGATTGTGTGGAACCTCATTATCTCAATACATTGTTTAAAATTTATTCGCTGTTCGCAAATCATCTTTAGCGTATACCAACCGCTATGGCTCTATAACCACAAATGTGGAGCATGAAAAGCGGCTTCCCGTTATAAAAGTAAAAATGTATCAACAATTACGAAGCGCACATCGACATCTAGAAAACAGCGCGGGAAATGATAACTTGGGTGAAAGGGAAGACGGAAGCATGGGTGGTTACAAGACAATGAAGGTATTACAAGGTTCATAAGATACAGCATGATGGATAAGTATTGAAAGATTGATTCCACAAACAATACAACTATTGCCAGGTAGTAACAAAGAAGATAAAGCAATCTTTACAACAGCGCTAGGTAACTTTAACGACAGTGAAGGGTGGCGGTGGCGACGACCAGCAACGCGACCACCGGCAAAAAGAACAACAAAGGAGGGTCACGCGCCGCTCGTCAGCCGCTGCCCGGCCTGTTCATTGCCGACCCGAGTACTCTATCGCTGGCTTTCCTGCGACTTAATGGTACGTCACGACTCTCCGCGTTAGTTCCCAGAACGCAAGGGCTGCAGCCATGCACAGCGGGCGCAACAGCTACATTCGCGCATTGCCAACGGCGTACAGCTAGTGCAATCCCGAGACAATCAGCTGAATCGCCGACGTGGGAAGAAACGAGTTAGGACACGGAAGAGGTCATGGCTGCAGGAAGCCACAGTGCTATGTGCACATACGACATCTACCGTAGTGGCGACTTCTTCCGTTTCTAAAGATGACTGGCTCTTGATAGAAATTTTGTGGAATGTTTGATACAGTCTTCTATTTTTTCATCATTTTTCCTTTTGCGAAAAGTAAATCATTCCACAACCGCTACTGAACAAATAGGAATGCAGGGTAGTGATGAAAACTCAGTCCAGTAGATATTTTTTCACGAAAAATCAAATTGTTTTGAAGGGATTAAATTTTATGAAAACAATTTAAGGTTTCTTATATTATGTTATAACCTCCAGCTGAATATTAAAACAACAATATGTAAATAAACCATTATGGAAATAAAATTGAAGTTGCTGTGAATTAAGAACTATTTTTATTTCTTTCAAATTAAAAAGGTTAAAAGCGAAACTAAATCATCCTTTTACGTTCATCTTTACATTTAATTAGATTTCATTTTACAGATCTTCACAAACAGGCGGGCTATTAAGTAATCTGATACCTACGTCAATTCGTGAGCAGGGCATTAAAAAACGCAGTATCATTACGACGGCATTAAGAAATCGAAATTCTATTTGACAAAGCATACTCGTTAATCAAACGCTTATTCTCCATATGGAAATGCCCCGGTAACTGAGCGCAGTACTCTTTGTTTTACTATCCACGGAAGTGGTACTTGCACACGCGGACGCACGGCCTTGGTGTGGCAACGAACGTCGTGCAGAGACATTCATTGTCCGTCCATCTCCGTGCAACGCAGGCGCATTCACCTGACTGCCACTGCAGACGCGCAGCGAGCGGGACGTGTCATGGCGTGACCACTCACACGGAGGCATTCTCGCCAGCGAGACATTCATTCGCGCGAGGCGGCGGTCGCCGCTGCCCGAGAGCCCCCCGCCCCGCTGCCGGTGCCGCTCCCAACGAGTTATCGCGCGAATGAGCGGCGGCGCGCGCGGAACCGCTTGCTCGCGGCCGGCTTTGTGCGCGCGCCTAATTTGCGGCCGTACTCGCCCCGCGCCGCCGCCCCTCCCCCCAAGCCCACCTCCGCGCCGCGAGGAAGCAAATACAACGCCGCGCCTGCCGCTGGGCCGGACGCGCCAAGTGGACTACGGATTGAGAGGTGGGAAGGGTAAGTTGACAATAGACTTCCATTCATTTCAAAGGGGCGGCAATGTGATTTCAAAGAAATGAGCTAGATAATTTGTACGCACAAAAAACTGCTGCTGATGAAATACCGGGGACGCTGCTTCGCCTTGAAACAATCGAAATAAAATTAACAAATTTTCTCATGCAAGTGTCAACTAATTTTACCCTTTATTTCCAGTTCTTATCTTCTTGTTTCCTTTTCTCTTTCGTACGTATTCTGCCCTGGCGTCCAGAAATGCTTAAAACGCTCTTCGTTCTTTCAATTGTACCAACAATGCGGGCAATGTGCTCTGTAATCGCGAAACCGTTACTGCAAATAAGACAATCAATGAAACTTTTATTTTTTCCATAGTCTGGAGGAACGGACATCACATTATTTCCAAGTTTAAAGTACAAAATACTGTGGAGCGGGTTCGTCTAATTCCACCCTCTGGCTTTAGATCCTTCACTCGCTCAAAAGAAAAAAAACATCCTGAGTCAGATATTCATTCTGAAGTCAATCCCTCGACCTTATTTCTACAGTCTGGACCAACAAATACATCTCCGTGGAGTCTCATGAGAGCCTGTTCACAGCACACACAGCATTCTGCACAATGCTTCGACATCGGTCAGAGGCCCACTTCCAACATTCGTAGATATCTAAAAGAGTGACACGAACAACAAATCGCTGAATTAAAAAAAACTGTTTTCCACTTCAGCCAATGCTTAGCCTAAGAGCTCCATCGACTTTCGGCATTTTCAGTTCATCCAGTATCTCGTCTACTGGTGACGTTCTGCTTACAAGTCTCTTTCCTAATCACAAACGTTCACTCCAACGGGTGCGGGTATGGGAGCACATGATGATGGCCTATTCCACGCAATTGCAGTGCACAGCACTGATTGTGCTTACTTTTTATTACAACTCTCTAAAGTAACACATTTTTTCTTTCAATTTTACGGAGGCAGTTAACAGGATTTGCTTCCTATGGATAATACTAATTTTTTCGAACCATATGAGACCCCACAAGTAAGGAATTGTTTATGTTTATCTGTATCGAAATCTGAAGAATTCGTTTAAATAAATTGTCCCGAATTTTCAGCACGTTGAGGACCCATTTGGTCAATATTTTCTTCTGTGATTGTGTTCCAACAACATTCAATCACTGCGGCAGCGCAGCTTACACCGACTAGAAAACAAGCAAGGACCTCAATTTCAATACAAATAAACCTCTACTGGTATTCGAAGGAAGCCTCACCGGCCAACCCGGCGACAGGGGCAGAGGACCGCGCGTCACGATCGCACGCGCACTGGGACTGCGAGGGCGCCCACGGCCCCTCGCGGGGAGCGAGAAGAACAAACACACCCACTCAACCCCCGCCCGCCCCCGCCCCCCCCACCCCGCCTCGCAGCTTCCGCACAATGCGCGCGGGCACGGCGCGTAAGAAAACGAAGAGCTCGCTCGCGAATCAAGTGGGTCTCGACAATACATCTAAGGGCAGCAAAACTCTCATCTATTGACAAAATGGGATTTCTTTTTCAACCACGATGCATAGGAATTGGTAACCATGCGTAGAGTAGTCAGGGACGAATTGATATGTAAACGATTCCATCATTGGTGATCTTAAGTGATGGTGATGCTGTGAATTGTGTTCTCATTACATTCAAATTAAAATGATCACTTGTTGTGGCAGCGCAACTTACACAACTTTAAAAACAAATCCAACAAAACAAAATATAAAATGATGTATCATAACAAATTTTATAAACTTGTGAGGCTTTTAGAAGAATTTTCACTTTTTTCCAATGTAAATCCTGTGGCAACTGGTATTTGCACTGGCTGGCAGGCACCTCATCCTAAAAATCTGATTGGCACGTAGTGTTCTGGCGCAAAGAGGTTTCACCTACTCACCAAGAAGCAGTGTAGAACAAGTTGCCAAATATCAGGAGTAAATTCAATATGTAACTTTGTTTTACGATATTTCCCACCTCTTGATCATTAGCAAAATGTGATTAATTTGGAGCCACCTCTATACCCTACAAGGTAATAACATTTAATCTCAATAAGACACCTTGTACACACTGACACCAAACATTTGTTTAATCGAACATTTGGGAGCCCATCAGTGTCGTTTGGATTAAGTACTCTGAAATTGTTTCCAATAATTTAGGATTGTCCCCTACTCCTGTCATGTGTCTGGTCAGCACCAAATATTTTGAACTCCCAAGTGGTAAAATAAGAACACAGTAAACAATGTCACAGAACGCTGGCGTCGAAGACTTACGCCTTCGGATATTAAAGTA